CAGTTCGGCCAGCCTGACAACTCTGTTCGTCCCGAACAGCCCTTTTCTTATTTGAATAAATTATATTTTCCTATTGCACTTGCTTACTTTCACTTTACTTGCCTACAACATGGCCGCATCGGGATACATTATTCATTACAATAAATCAGAGCCACTACACTTACAATAGATTCAGTCATATTCTTAGCTATTTAAATAACGTTTTAATATACATTTATGCAGTCTTAAAAACAAAATTAAATTCAATAAACCAGTCTTAATTGTAGAAATGGGGTCACTGTATAAAATAGGTTTCCTAAAACAATATACATATATATACCAATTATCAATTTACCATTAATTATTTCGAGTCAATCTTCATTTTGAATTTTTAAATTATCGGTTCTAATCCACGGTTTTATCCTATCGGCCGACATAATGGTATTTAACGGTTTTTGCTTAATATTGAAACCTGGTATATCCGTTACAACATATCGGTTCTTTTTAAGAACAGCTTTAACAAGGTAGGGGCCCTTGTATTTCGGCGCAAGGTTTTGATTGGTTCCCGGTTTATGCTGAAGAACCTTTACCAATACAAAGTCCCCTGCCTGGTACAATGAATTCTTTTTGTGTCGCTTATCGTATTGCACTTTATTGTATTCTTGTAGTCGGCGATTAACGATTTGTGCCGCGTCTCTTGTTTCTCCGCGCTCCTTCTCGAAATCCGCGTCCGATTGTCGAAGAGTATCAATTTGCGAGCGCAGTTCTTGTTTTTCGGTGCAAGAGAACCCGCGAGGAGCGTATCGATACAAGGAGGGATCCTTTAAATGTACTCGAATTTTATAATTATCAGTAATAGGGGTTATCTTCGATTTTTTGACCCTTTTCGAAAGACTTGTCAACCTCTCCCTCATCTGACACTCAACCCTCCCATCCAAGTTATCGATCGCAATGTCGCAACGTTCCTTCGAATCAACAATGTCGATTTGGAAGATAAAATCAATCTGCATGGGCTCCTCCGTTGGACATTCAAACTTGAATTTGCCGTTTTGATAAACTAGCTTAACCCCTGAGTTGATTAGAAACTCGCGCCCCAACAAAATATCAAATGCAATAGTCGAATCGTCCACCACCAATAGGGATACATCAAACCACCTGTTGACCTCCCCCTCCAAGCAGATTTGATCATATATCTTTCCAAAGACCTTAATCTCCGAATTGTTAATTCCTTTTAAATTTAAACATTTATCTACCCGAAGCAAGTTTGCACTCGCGAAATACCTCTGATACACCGATCTTCGGATAAGATTCACCGGACTACCGGTATCGATGAGAGCGCGAAAAGACCCATCCTGAGAGCCGCATCTGAAGATTGAGATGTATGGAGTTTCCTTCTCTATGACATAGACTCCACTCGATGCCTCCTCATCCACAGCAGCCTCCATGGGAATCACTTCCTCCTCCACCGGTCCGTCCATTAGATGATTCAGCGTAGCTCCCGGAGCAGGCCTCCCCCGCGGGCAGGCTGAACTTAAGTGACCCCTTTGACCGCACGCATAACACGTCATGGTGGCGATTCTGCAATCCTTCGCTAGGTGGCCCGCTTTCTTGCAATGTGCACAAGTAATACCCGCCCGGGTGGAAGCAAGTTTCGGACTGACACTTTGGTTGGTGGCTCCCGTATTCGGCCGTCGAGCAACCATGTCGTCCTCCGTAATTCTCCGCATGTGCTCCAAAAATTCCGGCACACTGACAGCCCATGAATTTAATGCAAACCGTCTAAAACCAAAATCCCGGACACCGTCGGCCAGCAATTCGATCCTCTCCTTCTCCGACAGATTGAGGAACTGCATCAACTTCAGCTTATCCTCCGCGTAGTCCACGAACCTCTCGGTGTGCGTTCTCCACACTCGTGCGTTTACACGTGACAATGTCATGGTTACTGTCTCCTTCCTTTCAAAATACGCCCGAATCTGGCGCCTAAAATCCTGCCACGACGCCACTGATTCCACTGACTGTCGATTATACCAGCCGATCGCGCGACCCGTCAACTGATTCACAGCCGCCAGGACCAAGACCTCATCGGGGATCTGATACATCCTAGCTATACTTGATATCCT